GTTCCCTGGTGTTCCATAATGAATTTAATATAGAGAAAACCAGTTTGGGGAAAATAAAATTATTTGTTGTGCTTCCCTTTTTCCCCCAAAATTATGCACAGCATTTTTTTCTTTTGATCTTTTGGCTAAAGATCCGTAGACTGTACAAGGCTAGCTCTAAACTTAGTTTATATCCTCAAAATTTCTAAGCATCATTGTGAGCCAAACTGTTCCACTGTGCTCTGCCCATTTGTGCTCTAATTCCAGAAACCACTGATTACCAAATTTAAAAAGGTCAAGTGCCTAAAGATATGTACATACTTGTGTATGTCTGTATGTGCCAAGAGAAAATGGAATACATTTCAGGGGCAGGAGTATTGGGGGTGAGGTGAGGGGAGGGAAAAGTCATTCACTGGCTTTTTCTTTCCTTTTTACACTTTTGTGTTGACTCACTTGTTACAACAATGTATGACTTCAGTAACCAAAAAGTTCCTGAAGATTTAGGAAAAAAGTAATGTTAATAACAATGAAGGAAAAATACAATACATATATTGCATATTAAAAAGGATTCCTTTTGCAAATGAAGAGAACATGACATGGTTAATAAAGAAACTTTTATATGTATATAATTGAGTACTCTTATGGTAAACTATATTTCAGAAAAATGGAATTTTTCTCTGTTCTCTTAAAAAAGTAAAATTTCTCCTCTAGGACTTAATGAATAGAAATAAAAGAAAGAAATGATATATTAACTTAAAATAACCGGTGGCACAAATGATATCTATACCATGAAAAATAGCTAAGTCAGATAAATATCTTAAATGAACAGAAAATGAGGTAATTTAATATGTCCAACAGAAATGACTATAACTAGATGAAATAACATTAAGAATAAATTTATATAATAAAACATTTTTTATAAGAATGCCAATATTCTTTAATTGATCTTTACAGGGGAAACAAGTTTCTTAATAAGGTAGCCAAAACAATCTTGATATCTTTCCACATCTCCGGGTTGGCCTCCCCTCAACCTAAATGTTCAGCTTACCATGGAACTAAAGATCACCTTCTTAAACTTTCCTTGAGTTGGCTGCCACCTACTCCTTTAAGAATAGATTCAGACTTATGAAGACTCTATCTCTTCCTTCTACTTATTCATCAAACTCTATCCCAGCACCAACTGCTGCCAGGGCCTGGCAAGGCCATGACTAAACAGTGATGAGCAAAACCAGAGACAGCCCCTTTCCTTATGGGACTTAAACTCTTATCATGAAAAGTGGGATCAAACAAAAACAGCCAGGAAAAAAAGGCAAAACTACAGCTAGAAATATGAAGACATACATCGTGTTCTTACATAGTTAATAACAGGAAGGTGAAAGAGTCAGGGAGGTGAAAAGAAAAAGGGAAAAATGAGGCGGGAAGGGCTGAGTAAAGGACAGCTAAGCAGAGAGGAAGGAAGAACGTGCCCGGCGCAGGGCGCGAGTGATGCAAAAGCTCAGAGGAAAGGAGAGCAACTCTGCGGAGGCAGGACGGCGGGTGGGAAAGGAGGGAGAAAGGGGCCCATGGTAAACATGGAAGGAGGGGATGCCCGCCCAAGGGGCACCGGCCCTTCAAAGGAGCTCATTTTGGGCTCCTAATTGCTACAATGTCTCCTTCCTATATTTTTATATTCCTTTGGGAATATGTCTCAGTTGGGAGAGGAGCAAAGAAGGCTAACAGGAAGCAACATTCAAGTAATTCACACACAAAAGGTCATGTTACACAAATGACGGAAACCCTGGTACCAAGAGTTAGTGGGGCTTGTGTCTGGAGGAAGGAAAATTTTTTAGGCAAAAGAGCAAATGGAAAGTTCTATTATTAAAGTATTAGCATGGTAAAATTTGTTTCAATTGTACATAATTAATTGTATATAAACTAAGAAGCAATGCTAAAAAATAAAAATAATTCCCTTCAGATAGTAATAAGTTAATCTATAATTATTAGTTAATTCCAAAAGGTGGTTTCTTATTAGAAACAAACACCTACTGAGAACTTATAAACCATGAAGAAACAGAAAACAAAATACACATGTGAGTAAGGAAAAGGCTGGTGTTTAATGTTAATCCAAGTTGAAGATGACTTTTTTCTCTTTAACACTGTAAAACCTTGAAACTGGAGGTAGATTTTTGAGTAAGAAGCTATTAAAGAAGGATCTTAACTTTTTTGATAATGTGAAAAATGAACAAATTGACTTATAAATATGCCATAATCTCTGAGGAAGTTTCTAATTTCTTTTCCTCTCATTGTAACAAAGTTTGTATAACAAGAAAAATCTCAATAGGGATAAGGCATCAATTATTTTCCCATTCTGCAAGTTACACAGGAGGAGGGGAATTATTAACAGGAATGATAAAGCTGTACTTGCATTTGGTAACACAAAGAGAAGCTTACAAATGAGACGTCTCATTAGTTTGAGCAGATGGATCAAAATTAAAGGCTGAATCGTCAACTTTTAATTTCCCAATAGCCAAGAAGAGCTTGAAGTCTTGCAGAGTATGACTGTTGAAAAGTCAACAGGAAAAGATTTTCTCCATCTGTCATCACACATGCTTGAGTGGAACACAACTGCCTCCTACTGTTTTTAATACTTTTCAGGCAAAGCTGCACATAAAATCTATTAAGTACACAAGCACACAAGTTTGGGTGCCTGGTATACTGAAACCCATGGAATGTATGATCAGAGACTATTAGCATGGCATTTGAAGATGAAATTTGCTCTACTCTAATTTAATCTAAATGGAAAAAAACAAAATGAATTCATTTGTATATTTTTAAAAATTAATTTTTTATCATGAAAAGAATTATTTTCCTGAGAGTTATAGTTTTTGGTTTTTTAAAAATGGACATGTTATCAGTCTACTTAATAATGGTCTGAAAAGTAGCTGCTCTGATAAAATGAAAGTAAACCACAACTAGGAAGAAAATCCAAAATATCAAAACAACCTGCAGGTTAAGAAAACAAAACAAAATCAAGGAATACTCCCTGGAAGGATATTTTAACTGGGTTGGCAGGGAGAAGTGGTAGCAGAGAAAATTCTGTTTTCCTGGACTAGAACAGACTTAAATTTCTTAGTGCTATACACTAACTGCTAAAATATATTTAAAAGGCAACAAAATAAAGCTAAAGTTCATTAAGTACACAGCCCCACAAGAAATAATTTATGTTCACTTGACAAGGAAAAGCACCTTTACTGAATATGTAGTTGGCTGCTTAATAACACTGCACTAATGTGCAGTTAGTTATGGCTGTAACTGAATTTCAGAAGCAAAGCTCTCTGCCTGTCTTTCTATTTCTGTCTCTACCTGTCTCTACACACACACTCACACACACATGCACACACACAAACACATAATTTACTGTGCTTATACATACATTAAAACATTTAAACAGAAGGGTCTCTCAGAATGATGCACATATAGTTAGACCTTTCAGTCAAGAGAGTTAGGCAAATAATATAATTGAAGAGTTAATTTGATGGTTAGTTTTTTAGATAATAAAATAGATGGCTGAATTATATATTTTTCATTTTCTGATAGATAGATACATATAAATTCATTTGTTGAAATTTATCACTTGGAATCTTATACAAAGACATCTAGTAACTGGGATAGCATTATATTCAACCTCAATTAAGAGGGGAAGAAACACAACTCAGAAACTCTATTCTATTTGGAAGTTCTGTTAACTTTTTAATAAAAGCAGAGGACCACACAGCTTACTGAAGGTATTACTCCAAGGAGCTAGGAAAGGGAAAAATAATCCAGTGAGGGGTTCTAAGCCCCTGAAAATAAACTTCCATATGGGCCTCAGTAACCAAAGATCCTGTGAAGTAGTGATTCCTGTGTGATGAATTAAATCAAAGCTGGCTAGCTTTGTTGAAATTGGTATCTACCTCAGCTTCCAAAATCAAAATGTGCAATAGTCCTCTTTTCCAAGTATCTGCACTACAACTTCAGCCCTGGACATACTACAAAGGCAGTCAGCAGAAGCTGCCAGGGATCAAGCTAAATGCACTTACTGGCGAAATAGTACTTGGCAGAGCAACTTGCAAATAGAAGACTTAAATAGAACAATTTCTTTGAAATGAATGAAACAGGAAAATATTTCAGTTTGCGGCAACTTTTTCAAAGTTACACACATAACACAGGTAATTTAAAGAAACGAAAAAGAGCTTTGTTCTCAAATTATGTTGCAAAAGAGCTTTTAACTTGAGATGACTGCATTAATGTAAAAGACTAAGGTACTCTCTTAACAACTTAGCACTTACAATCTGAAGATACTGGTTTGGGGATTTGTAAGACTAGCAATACTAGAGGCCACTATCAACTAGTGGTCCATAGTCCTGGTGGTTTTTATACTTCCCAATATCCCACCTCACTAAGGATGTTTAATCTTTGAAGATGAGGCAATTCATCACAATCAAATTATATTTACCAAGGAGTCTCCATGCCCATGACACTATACTAGGAACTTAACCAACAAGATTTCCTTGTAACCCAATCTTAACACGACCTGTCCTACTGGTACACAAAACCTAAAAGGACAATATTGCATAAAGCACACCAACTAATCTTTTTGAAAATCTGACATCTTTAATCTAAGTGTTTATTTACATTTTAATGTCATTGTTTCTATTTATGGATCTGTCATATTTTTGGATAGGGAAAACATAATAAATAGATTATAGAAATCAGAGAAATAACTGAAGATAAGGAATAAAATACATTTTAACAAATGGAAAGACATACACCAACAGAAACTATCTTTGGGTGGTAAAATTAGCAGTATTTTTCCCCCCTTATTTTTGCTTTTTGGTGTGCTCAAGAGTTAAATTTGCTTAAACTCATTTTGCTCAGTCTCTTTTATACCAGTCATATTTACACAGCATTTAAAAAATAAAACTACAAAGGCAAAAGACCAGAGGGTCACTGTATGAAGCAAAAACACAGCATTGTTTAAAACAGGATAAAATAATGTATACCTGGTGTCCAGCCTTCACTTGCTTCAAAACATTTTCATAGCATACTTCATCCATGTTATTCAACTGTTGCACCTTGAAGTGTTTAAAACATAAAAAACATCAAATGAAGCAATTATAAACTTTCTAACTACAAAAACCCTGCCAATTACAATGCATCTTTATTTACTTTCAGACTGGTGAGAATGCAGAAATAGCAAAGGCAATATAAATATCTAACCTACAACAACCCAACAGAAACAAACACAATGTTATTAAAAAATACAAATAAAACACATTATACAATACTTTTGGAGTACTAACTTTCTAAGAGTGCCAAGTTTTTTAAAGACAGTACTTTTAAGGATACTTTACTAATTACACATATTTTAGAATAATTTTAAAGTTCTTTTCTCTGCTTTTCCCAGACAAGCACATTCTTCAGGCTGTTTTTCTTCTGTTTCATTCTACAACCCATAGCGTTTTCCTGTGTAATTCTCAAAATTACCAGAACATTACCGATAGAATGTCATGGTATATAAAACTGAAATCTAAAGAAACATACTATTTCTGTAATGTGTAAGTAGAAAGGTAGATGGTTTTCTACAGAAACATATTTCTGATTAATTTGAAATTTAGTATCAAATTTATGAATTAAGAAAGGGTTTCATTTTCCCTATTAATGATGAGAAAACTTCCAATCAAAAAGGAGGTGGTTAATCCAAAGGAGGAGGCATCTGACACAGCCTGTATCTCTTTACTTAACATTTATTAAGAGTTCGGAGGGGAGGAAAATGTCATATACATCTGAAATGACTATGATTTAGATGTTTTGTTTTAATAATATAAACACTTTAGCATCTGAAACTCATGTTTTACCCTAAGATACTAAGGTAGATGAGATAATCACAAGATAATTTACTCCCCATTAATGATTCAAAAAAACAACTTTTCCAAATAAAACTGCTAATAATTTTTCAGTGTACTTTAGGTTGAGTTCTGGCCAAAGTAATTATATATTTCAAATTAGACATGTCACATACACCATTTTTCATGTTCTATAACAACTGAATCATATCATGACTTTCCAAATGAAACTCTGAGAAACTTGTAAGGATTTCTTCTTAAAGAAAATGACAAATTAACAACTGGTTAGAAACTATATTAAACAACAGACACCCTGGGGAAATGCTTAATGGTTACCAACTGTATATTACAGCTGAGTGTAAAAATAATACATTTTAGTAAGACAAAAATCTATATTTATAATATGTATAATTAATTTACTGTTTATACTATGTAAGATATGTAAAAGCTATTTTTTAAAATTTTGCCAAATTTCTAAACCTCCAAAATAATTATGATGGTTCATCATCTAACATCATTACTGTTATGATTATAATACTAACACATTATGGTGAAAATAGTTTGAATTGAATTAGCTTTAATATGATGAAATGAAAAGAGGTTTAAAGTGGATGACAAGCATCTGAAAAAATTTTCTTCTCCTATATATGCCTTTCTGAGGTAACCATCTGCTATCATTTAAATGATAAAGCTGAAAGAACACTAAAGCTATCAAGAAACTGCTCTACATTTATATGATAGCTGATGGCACATTAAAAGTAAATGAATAAATATATATAAAAACATGATTAAAAAAAAACCAGTAAGGAATACTAAATAATGGTTGAAGCAATTAATGAATTTTTTTTTATAACTATCATCATATCATAAACTATCTTTATGTGCATAAGTCGGAAAAGCCTCCCTGCAATTCTAAAGGTAGCTTACTTTTATGCAATGCAAATGGGACATATTAACTTGTAGTGACAGTCACTTCTGCTGTCTTTTAGATGAGTATTTTATTTATAATAATGTACAATAAAAATGGCCCTATTTTACTAATAACGTTGTTTTTGGATAAGAAGCAATGTAATATAGTAACAATCAAAATTAATCTAGTAACACATGATTCTTTTTTTTTAAAGGGATCATATGGCCTTTAAAAATGGTAAATATGGTAAATATTCTCCTGAAGTATTTCTTCTACAGAAAAAAAAAATGCTGTTAAACAGAATGATAAATGTATATAAATTTAAGGCAAATTAAAGTATTCTTTCATTTTATTTTAAAATAAAAGTCCTCATGGATGGAGCTGGAGAACATTATGCTAAGCAAAATAAGCCAGTAAGAGAAAAAGACAAGTACCATATGATTCATTCATATGTGGAATTTAATAAACTGAATTACCAGGCAAAATAGAGATAGACTAATAGATAGAGAGCAGGCAGACAGCTGTGTTGTTGGTGGTGGTGGGTGAAGAAACCGTGCAAAAAAGAAAGAGAGAGAGTAACAGCTTAGTGACTGTGAGAGGGAGGGGGGTAGATGGGTGTAGAAGAGGGAAAAGAGGGGATAAACGGTGATGAAAAAAATAAATATAAAATAAATAATAAAATAAAATACTACAATAAAATATAAAAATAATAAAATAAAATAAATAAAAGGATAACATATTAAAAAATAAATAAAAGTCCGAAATAAGCACCCTAATCATTCAAACGGTACCACGTAATACTACTAACAAACTAGATAAACAAGCTGTTAATGTATTATAAGAAATTTCAGAAATGCCACTTATATATATGTGTATATATAATTGATATACATTCATTATAAAACGTAAGTTAAACAGAGCACTTCCCTTAATAGTTGCTATCATGAAGATATTTTCCACTTGCATGTAAGTTATTTTAGATAAATAATATACCAAAATATGTATTACTGGTTTAATGAGAGCCTTTTATTATTTTACATCGTTCTTCAATCATATCAAAATAACTTTTTGAAATGTCTATTCTTATAATTGTGTTCCTAGCTTAGGAACACAAAATATACATTGATAATAGCAATGCAAACTACTGTAAGCAACTTTTTGTAGGGGGAATTACTGTACTACATATAGTTGAGAAGCTGCTTGACTCTGTCTAGGATGTTATATTTGCAATGCTACTGAAATGGTCTTCTGGAGTCTCTAATCCCAAATAAGCATTAATCAATATATCAACAGAAACATTTTAATTTTATTTTATATTATTTTATTTTTATTATTTATTTTATTACTTTATTATATTTTAAGTTTTTTAGTCCTCACCCGAGGATATTTTTTTTCCATTGCTTTTTCAGAGAGAGTGGAAGGGGAAGAGAGAGAGATAGAAACATCGATGTGAGAGAGACACACAGATTGGTTGCCTCCTGCTTGAGCACCGACCGGGGCCGGGGACTGAGCCTACAGCCAAGGTAGGTGCCCTTGGCAGGAAGCAAACCTGGGATGCTTCAGCCTGTGGGCCAATGCTCTAACCACTGAGCAAAACTGGCTAGGGCCAGTTTTCTAATATTTTTCTAATATTTTTTCTAATATTTTTAGAAAAAAAAAATATAATTATTAAAATGAATACTTACCTTATTTGCACTTTTAACCCCCAGAAATGTCTGTCCAAGAGGAACTGGTCGAAAACGGCCATCAAAGTAGAAAAGGCCAATGTAGGGATTAACATGTAAAAATGTAGCAACATCGAGGTAGTTGGGTAAAGTTGCAGAAAGTCCAAGAATCCTTATCATACTCTGTGTAGATTCAACCTATATAGATTATTTTAATTAATGTATGATGTAGATTCAACACATATTGATTTTTATTAAGTTTAAAATAAGTTTAGTAAATATAAAGTATGAGACAGTCACAATAAAACAAGATCCCCCAAGAAATACAGAATAATAATACGTAACCTAGAAGACAGATAATAAAAAAGAAACTGGCCTAAACGTAGCATCTGGGATGATGTATAATAATTGAAAATTTAAGTTTAGTAGATTTCCTGAATTGGAAAAATCCTATTAGTTAAATATTTTTTTCTTTTTTCCTAAAAGTGCATCAAGGTCACAAAAACACAGTAAATTCCATAAATTAAACATAATATAGGCCATATTCTCTCATGACAGTGTCATATACCTAGAAAGATAAAACCAAGGGATGAACAAAAATTATATTCACTTAATAATTAAAGTACACTATTATGATCCCATGATGACGCTATCAACAACTTCATAGCAGTTTTCTGAAGAAGCTGTTGATAAGTTTGATCAGTCGAGAACACTCAGTGGGTGTAAGTAAAGTGGTCTAATGTGAGTAGTATGAATACTTTCAGAATCACCCATCCATCGACACTGGCTTAGGACCCAACCTTAAGTCAGTGGGGATATAGCACTGAATAAGACCCAGATTCACACATATAGACAGAAATGGAAGAAAATTAAAGCACAAATACATATACCACTTTTTACAATATATGTGCTTTCATTAAAGAAATCTTATGAATATTAGTAAAAACCCAAGTCCAAACCAACCAAAACTAAAGAACTCTAAAGAAGAAAAGATAAACACATCCATTGTTTAAGAAATTTCTTTTACATGTTGTGATAAGAACTCTTTTTAGGATTTAAAATGATGATTTTTGATTATATAATAGTTCTAAGCACTACTGGTTGTGATTTGAAAGGAAAAAAACACACTGATTTTTGGTTTTAAAATTATTATTTACAATACAGAAGTTATTAAATATATTTTAAGTTCTTTTAAAATACATGATACCCTACAAACACCAGAGATACTTTTCTGATAAAAATCAATTTAAAAAACCCCCTGTATTTTTTAATTGAAAAAATACAACCCTATAATTCTCAATACAGATAAGCCTGTATAAGAAATATTTCCATTTAAATAGGGATAATTTGGAACTTTATATCCTAAGCTAAATCTCAAAGCTCTATACACTATACATATTCACCAAAAAATTATTGTTGAAAATGATAAAATTAATATTCTGCAGCTTCCTCTTTATTATTAGCCCCTAAACTAGGCAGTAAATTTTTATGACATTTTCCATCACATAAAATCTAAGTTTGAATAGTCTCTGTAATCATTGAAAGCAGTTAAGAAGACAGTATTAGTTCAGTGTTGTTCACTACAACAGATTTGGCCTTCCTTACACTTTTCTCTTTTCCAAGTTTCTCTAAACATGCTAAGTGTGTTGTGAATTTAGTCCCTAATACCACCATTCAACTCAGAACCAGAACAGAATCTACACTGAATTAAAATAGTTCCCTAAGGCTCTTGTTAGTTACCAATGTTGAAGTGCTATGTAAAACACTGCCATCTATTGGGACAATCTGGTAATCACAAGGAATAAATAAAAACAGGTACTTTGCTATTTAATAATAGTAATTGCGAGAACTGTGCTAGTAGCACATGGGAAATATGAGAAGAATCACACAGACCCTTCTGTCAAGGAGATTAAAATCTAGTATGGGATACAGATGAAGGTATAATTAATTATAGGAAGTTGTGAAATTATAAGGAAGACTGATAAGTGCTAAAAATGTACAAAGAAAGAGAGTATAAAGTTAGAACAAAAGCTTTCCAGTATTTAGTTAGAGACATCAATAAAATAAGACTTAGAAGGAAAATAGAGTAATTTTAACATGAAAATGAAGTAGCTAAAGTTTTCTCCATAGTAAAATTAACTTTATCCCCATGAGAAATACATATTACTATTTCTTTGAATGCTACATTTAAATTTAAAACATTACTCATCCCTCCAAAATAAGCTTTTAAGTCACTTTCTCTTACCTGCCGTAAAGTACGTGCCACTATGCTTTCTAACACTGGTCCTCTGTCTTCATGCAGCAAATGAACTTCATCGAGAATAAGGAGCTTTACAATTTGGGAAAGAGCCACATCCCCAACACTCTTTCTTGTCACTACATCCCATTTTTCTGGTGTGGTCACAAGCATCTATAAGACAAGAAAAGGTAATCAAATTGAAACGTTAAAAAAGTCAAATAGATTATTTAGATTTCAGCTGTGTCATTCAAAAAGAAGTAAGACTGGCCACCTATGTACGGATCAAACAAAAAATGTTAAAAATATCCTAGAATGATATCCAACCAATTCACTGTAGGCAATGGTCACTTCAACAGGACCTTTCTCTAGGTTGTGATGTTAAACAGTTATTTATTTATTTATTTATTTTTAAAAATATATCTTTATTGATTTCAGAGAGAGGAAAGGAGGGAGAGAGACAGACAGAAACATCAATGATGAGAGAGTCATTGGGGATCAAGCTCGCAACCTGGGCATGTGCCCTGACCAGGAATCGAACTGCGATCACCTGAATCATAGGTTGACGCTCAACCGCTGAGCCACGCCCAGCGGGGCTTAAACAGTTATTTAAAAATCAATGAGGTAGTCAGTCATCAAATTGTAGGGTAAAGTGTACAAAATACATAACGTTTTGAAAAAAGCGTCTTACAATGTAAAAAACAAACAACACTAACTTTTAAACCTGCATAAACTGACAATGGCCCTTATTTGAAAAGGGACAAAGAAGTGAACAAAGCACATGGAAATGAAAAAGGACACCAAGGATCCACTCTAGGAATGATCACCTGTTTGTGGCTATGCAAATTTAGAGGAAACTTTACTACTGATACCCAGGTTTTAAAAAATGCCCTTTAGTATCAAGTATATATGTAGTACTTTATACCAAAAACTAATATGTATCCTACAGTATAACTGGCAGGTAACAGGAACCCAAACAGTGAGCCACGGGTGATCCAAGGCATACAGAGTGGGAGGTAGGCCTGGGGTATTTGTGAGAACTTCACGGAAGCGGACCATTTGACTTGAAGCTTTGATTATGTTATCTATTTGCCTTTCACATGTTGAACTGTTTGTGTCTTCTAAAAGGACAGAGAAAAAGATGACAAGTTTAATAACATCTTCTACTATAATAACATTACATTAGGAAATAATCCTATAAGTGGATAATTCAAAGAACACATGAGGTAACAAAAAAAGCTATTCTTAGCCAGTCCATCAGATTATAGAGACTGTTGAGAATCACAGTACAACCCTGCTTTGAAGAGGTTAACAGAGACGAGGGTCAGATTGTTCTCTCAACACTTTTGTTATGTTATTTAATGTCAGTTTTGAAGTCACCTACAGGGATGATAATCTTTTTTTTTTTTTTTTTAAGATTGCAAATGACAAATTCTTAACAAATGCACAATCTAATTTATCAATATAACCTGGTACATTATTAGAGATATCACTGCTATCATTTTGAAATGAACTACACTGACCACAAAATTTAACAGTTGTGCTTCAACACAACATTAATTGGCAAACTAATTAAATAGATTAAGGAATTCATGTCTAAGGTGTGAAATACTACAAATCCAAAGCTACCTAGTTTACTTGCTAAAGCTAAGTGGCAATGTGGAGATCATATAAAACTTTATGGAAAGAATATGCTACTGGAACTAAATATAAATGGATATATAATAAATTTTGAGTTCTAAAATGGACTGAAACATTCACTGTGCACTAATTAACATGTCTTACATTATAATAAACTAGTCTACTTTTAAAAATTACAAATTTAAAATAACCCAAGCCCTGGCCAGTATGGCTCAGTTGGCTGGAGTGTCATCCTGTGCACCAAAGGGTCGCAGGTTGAATTCCAGGTCAGGGCACATACCCAGGTTTTGGGTTTGATCCTGGTTGGGGGGAGTAAGGGAGGTGGCCAATCGATGTTTCTCTCTCTCCCCCCCCCCCTTCCTCCCTCTCTAAGTCAATAAAAGCATGTCCTTGGCTGAGGATTAAAAAAATAATAAAATAAAATAACGCAAGATATATTATTATAAATATACCTTGCCATCACTTACTAGCAACTCTTTTTATGAAAAACAAGCCTATCTGTTCTCAAAACAGTAATTCTCATAAACTGTAAATTTATGTCACATTAAATTATAAAATAAGCAAGATTATTAGTAAACATTAGGAAAGCTACAGAGTACACCATTAAATTATAATAATAAATAAAGCTTGGCTACCTACCTCACCATGAACATAGAATATTGTGCCAACTCTTTCTTATAATTAACTTACAGAGACAATAATGTGGTGACAATTAAATTGCAAATTACGTAAGTCACTAAGAAGTTCAAAGAAAAGCATAATCACATAAATTTTTTAAATGTGTCTTACAACTGATAAAATATGGTTCATTCAGTTGAAAATGTTAGAATCTATTAACTAAGTTAATGAGCAGTATTCATGAATGCTTGCTTAATACATTTTCTGTGGTGAAAACAGCCTGAAGTTGTTACAAATTACAATCTAATGCTATAGATGCAGACCAGACAACAGTTTGCAAAACTTAGGAAGTCCATCTTCCTTTTAAAAATACATAATCACATACCTACTCAACCAACAAGCTTATAAATCTAAAATGTCACATGGTTTAGATTCCATAAACATACATATAATTACAGTTACACTAACCTCTGCTATACGCATGTCAGCTCTGATGGATGGCAACAGCTCCCGTAATGGAATCTGACAGCTAGCAGATTATACCTGCCCCTTAGGACACTACAACAAATCAGTTAGTTCCAACTACTTCCTTCTCTACATTTTTTATGTTCCTCCCTCTCCCATCAGTTCATGTGTAAAGCACAACGTCCTCTGAAGTACCTAGTTGTATTTATGTCAAAGATGACAGCCTTCAATTATAAAATGGAAATATAACAATGAATTGGGAACTCTTCAAATATAAAGGTATTCTTACTGCGTATTCTTTGTTGAAAATATATGATGTGGTCAAGCTAAAGCTAAAGAATGTAATCTTGGTATTTCATGTTTTAAAAAATTCTATACTATTTTTAGTTAAAAATGTCTCAAGTAATGTAAAATAAAGAAGCAAAGTATAATTCAATAAAACAGTCTAAAGCTTGAAGGAAGAGAGCATGGAGTGCTGAGAGCAGGCGGGGGAGGTTTCTATAATATTTAATTCAAAATGGAACATTTAAGAAAATACTTTTTAGACCACATGTGCTTACAGCTAGAGTAGAATTCTCCTTATACTTCTTTTTGTTGATTTAAAACACTTTACAATAATCCCAGAACATACATACTAAAGTCTAGTATCATCACATAAGCTTGTAAAGGATACAATCCTTTAGTTTTACCCTAAAACTTAACATAATAGGGAAAAATACGAAAACTGTTTATACTGCCATGTGTGTAAGCCATGAAGACCTTGCTATCATCAATTCAACTGCTTGTTCATGATACCCCAGGATTTCATTCCACTCAAGTCCGGTAGAGCAAGGGTGTGAGACCACTTAACAGTGATTCCTGTTCTGCTCATTCACAAAGACAAGTTCTTGACATGTGAATAATCTGTGGTAGAAGTTTGTCCTGTGTTAAGTCCTATTCTGTAAATTGAGATGTGGCTCATAGAGAACAGCTTTCTTTGGTTTTGTAATGTAGTTTTTCCCATCGGACTGGTGAAAATGGGGGAAAAAATCCTCTCTCCTATGACTTTGAACATATGACAGTCACGGCCTCTTTCCTGCTACACGTGCAAAACTCAGTTTAGGATCCACTTCTTACTAAACTGGAACACTTTAAAATGTCATGTTGTAATACGAAAGTACTAAAGCCTCAAGTGTGATGAGCTAAAAGTGTATTCTGAAGTTCTTCACAAAAATGATTCCAAATAATACCAATTATTTTCATCTCTTCAAATAATTTCAGACATTCAATATGAAGAGATTTTACCAGTTCAAGAACAATTAAGCAAAAGTTTGTTGGCAGGCTACTACTGGGAAGAAGATGAAGGGAGGATTCTAAAATCTTAACATTACAGCAGGATAAAGGCTTGTGAAAACAAGTGTAAATAAGGAAGAGTTTTCCTTACTGTTCACGTGCTTATATTATTTGAACCCTTTATATTTTACTTAGAAAAAGAACAAAGACAGGACATGTGTACTATTTAATCACAACTTGTGGTTATCCAAAGGAGAGTTTCTCAACAGAAGTTTATGACTAAGTCACTCACTCAATGTCTATGGTTAGGAATACAAAGAGCCAAGCACAATTACACCTTTTTCTGCACTTTTTTCTCCATTCTCTTCCATCTCCTACAATCTAACAAACTTACACCACTGAGAAAGGAATCAAATGCACTTATTTGTTACTGGCTTTGAAGTGGCTTAACAGAAACTCACACACACTAAAAATGAAGCACAAAAATTCACAAAGAAGGAAGAAAGCAAATAGAACTAAAGGATTAGCCAACATAGTATCCGTGATTAAGTATAAAAACCGGCTCTAAGCTTTCTTGACACCCAATTGAAAAACTGGGAGTGATTTCAGCAAGATGGCAGCAGAGGAATTTCTGGTGCTCAGAAACATCAATTTGAACAACTATTCGTGCATGAAAATAACTTCACAAGAGCTTAGGATTCCAGGCGATGGATTACAGTGTGTGGATGAAGCAGAGAAATAAGAAAAGGCGCATTGAGAATAGAAAAGATAGAGTCACATTAACCCCATCACCCCTCCTCTAAGCCCAGGCAGCCCAGCACAGAGAGATACCTGCCACACTGGAGAAGGAAAGTAAATGAATGCCCAATTGCACTGCAGACAACCCATCCCGCAAAGGCCTACTTTCCTGGGCGGCCCTTGGTGCCTCCTCGGAAGGATCCCACAAACCCAGACTCCAGGTTGTACCAGCATCTACCTGTTGGCTCTAGGAACCCAAGTAAGATGGCTCTCAAGTTCCCAGGCAGCATCTAGGGCACCAGGTTACCCGCAGGCTCCTGCAAACCCTAGCCCAGTACATGAAAATGTACATCACTAATCATCGGGGAAATGCAAATCAAAACCACAATGAGCTATCACTCAAACAAAACTGTTAGACATCTCCCCTTTACCTAAGGTGTCTGTTGTGGATTGAATTGTGCCCCCACAAAGAGATCTGTTCAAGTCCTAATCCCTGGTACCTGTGGATGTGACCTTATTTGGGAATAGGGTCTTTGCCGATGTTAACATGATAAACTTTGCAAGCAGCATTCGTAAACTAATTTAAAAATAAATTTTCTAATTACTTTACTATTTTTACTTACTTAACAGCCATAAGAATATGAAATAATCACGATAGAAAAAAGTATCTAAATATTGATGTGAAACAAAACAAAACAAAAAAAGAGAAACTATTAATAGAATATGACCCCCAATTCCCTCTGCACTCCTCTAATACTATGAAGCATCTTATTTTTCCTAAAGGAATACTCATGGAATAGCCAAAATGGTTATTCTAAATTTTTTTTCAGTGAAAGCAAAGATAATTATATTCCCAAGTGCTTTTAAATTATAATCTAAGGAAAGGGTCTCACATAATACATAATTTGCATTCACCAGAAAGATTTCTACACATCAAAAATTACAGTTTTCTTACTACCCTCTCCAATCCAAATATATTAAAAACAAAACAATTAAAAGCAGCAATTTATATAAAGGAGTATACTTTTTACTCAAAGCATTTTAATATATTTTATGAGTAGCTTTTAAACCTTGTAAAAGTAAAAATAATAACACTAAGATTTCCATGGTTCTTCAATATAATTTATAGCTTTCTTACTAATAAAGGTAATGAGATATTCTGCAAACCAGAACTCTCATTACTTCTTAATGGCATGCTTTCAATGCAGAAAATGGTTATCTTGGCAAATAATTTTGACATTTCATCAGGGATTTTAAAAGTGGTAGCCCTCTAATTCCATTACGTATAAACACATTTGTTAAGCCTATTAAAACTGATCACTGTTCTTAGAGATCAAAGCTTTCACATTTTAGGTTCGATTCCCATTGTTTAGGTATCTCTATTAACAAAAGAAAGCTTAAAATTTTATTTTGGTTATTAGTTGCTTAATTATATGAAATTCAAAATGCAAATAGACAACACAAAACAAGAAAAAAGCAAAATGTTTAGAGTTACAAAGGACTGAAAAATCATTACTACCACCAAAAAAACACCAATTATGTTTGTGCAGTCACTTAAAAACTTAAGCTTAAGCAATCAAGAATCACCTTCAAAATATAAAATAATACTGCTGTTATTTTATTGTTTCTAAAAAAATTACTATTAAAAATAAGTCCCAAACCAAACAAAGAAGACAACTAAGGAAATAAGAAGCAACATTACAACAAATAGAATACCACACTAATTTCTAAACTACATCAAGCCCGGCCAACCGTGGCTCAGCAGTTGAGCGTCGACCTGGGATCCAGGTGATCAGGGTTTGATTCCCGGTCAGGGCACATGCCCGGGTTGCAGGCTCGATCCCCAGTCAGGCGCGCTCAGGAGGCAGCCGATCAATGACTCTCTCATCATTGATGTTTCTCTCTCTCTCTCCTTTCCTCTCTCTGAAATCAATAAAGATATATTTAAATAAATGAATAAATAAACTAAATCAACACATCAGAACATCAGAGCATTTATATTTCATCAAGACTGGGTTTTTCAATCTGTTTAAAAACTGCATTTATACTTAAGTAGCTTAGTGAATAGTGATTTCAAAATAATTAGTATTCTTCACTTATTTATGAAATAAATACACAGTATTTTAATGAGCTAAACGATTTTATCCTGAATGTCCTAATGTATGGCAGAAGTTCAGATCTTTACAAAATCCGTAAGTTGAAACAAATCCTTTTGTGCTGATAAAAATCCACATTGTGAGTCACTTTCATTTCCTCTTAGTTTTTTTATTCCATGTTTTATCAGGTAGTTTAAATTTATGTTATTTTCTTTTTGGCTCTTAACACCAAACAGAACATTGAGTGAGAGAGGGAGGTCGGAGGGAGGGTGTGGTGATTATAATGTGAGCTATAAAACTAAGCTGTATTTTTCAGAGCAAAATATAATCAACGTAGTGATATGGCAATTCCAATGCTGAGATATGTAAAAAAAGACATATGGGCTAAAGTTAATCTGATTTCTAATGTGACTATACATAACTTGAGATCTCTGAGGGGAAGGGAGTAGGAGGAGACTGGAAGAGATTAGACAAAGAACACAAATGCACATGTGCACAGCCCATGGACACAGACAACAATGTGGTGATGGGGGAGGTAGGGAGCGGAGGGGACAACAGGGGGCTGGAAGAGGGGACATCTGTAATAGTGTCAACATTAAAAACAAACATCAAAATTAAGTTTGAAATGATAAATTATGAAATGACAAACTGATGAAAACGCTATTCCTAGTTACTAATTTGAATGTGTTAAAATGTTCGTGTTTTACAGTATTGTTTACAACCTTCAATGTTAAGTATTTATGTTATTTTTTTCAAAGATTATTGGGCTTTTATTTCCTATTATACATGCTTTGTTTTAGTACTTATTTCTAGTCAAACACGCATACTCTTGGATTTGTTTTAATAGGAAAGTTTGAAAACACTGTAAACAATTATCCAAGCAAAAATTAAATAAAACATAAAATACTGAGGACTACTATGGGAGCAGGCTCTGGAGGATCCTGGGAAACTAAGAGAGAGACATGGAAAAAAATACTCTATCACAGCTTCCAGAAGAAACTAACCCAGCTGACACCTTGATTTTGGACTTCTGACCTCCAGAACTGTGGGAGTTAAGTTTCTGTTGCTTCAAGCCACCAAGTTGTAGTTATGTGTTATGATGGCCCAAGGGAACGAGTAATCCTCCAATCAAATTTTAAATCACTGTCCATTCAGTGTTCCAAAATCTGTATCCCCTATTTTCTATCAAACTCCCTGAATTACTCCATTAATATTTGGTCATTTTGTATTTTATTTATTAAGAGCACCATGAACATCACCTTACTTACATGTTGTGTCCCTGAACGATACCTAGGTTGTAGCTCTAATATAGTTTCTGTATATGTAGTTAGTAGGATCCTTGAAGGCAGAAACTGTGAATCTTAAGTCCTTGCTGTCATGCATTTCACCCAACAGAGTGCTACATACAAGCGTGACTACCTAACTTCTTACTTGATGAAATAAAAAAGGCCTACGAATTTTTAAGTTACATCACCCTGAGGGACTGGTCTGAGACTAGGTCACTTAAGCGTCTACATGTTTTTCTGCTCTTAAAACTGAGGTCTGTTTCATCCTTATGCCCTTGCGTTTTCAAGAACAGTCGTTGCTAATGGACTTAAAATTTACCCCAGGAATCTAACTCGAGGTAGAGAAAATCGCAGAAGTCAGACAGGATGCCAGAAAACAAAGCCCCACCACGATGTTACTCTTTTGTAAAAGACGTGGTTACAAGTAAAATTCATTGTGTCCACATTACGTTTTATAGTTACTTCAAATACAGCTATTTAACATTTTTCACAATTACCTGGGGGAAAAGGTAAGTATGCAACATACCTGAGTCCGTAAAATTTCACTTTTTGACAACTGCATATCACCAGTCAACTCTTTCACAACGATGCCCAGTGGCTCTAGACGTTTGCTGAAGTAATTTGTCATTTCAGCTGCCAAGGCTTTCATTGGAGCGACATATACAATCTGCACCAAAGAAACACTAGCTTGATGAATGAGCAAAAACCACAATGTCATTCGTTTCACAGTAGCCAATACAAGTTATAATTCATTGTGAAATATGATTCTAGCCACTTCAAGTGAAAAATCTTAATAGTGATATATGAAAAGTACTTATCTTTGTTGGATAAGTATACAGCTATTTAAAGGACAATGAAATTTGTTTATACAGCCTTATCACTTGGAAAATTGGTTCTGCTTCAAAGCTAAATATATTTTCACAGCTTTTCACAAGAGTAATGGGATTTTCATAACACAAACAGAGGTTGCCTTAATAGTAATGAAGTAAATCAAGCAGCTTTCTTTATGTGACTTCATGTACAATAATCCCAAAAGACTTCCAGATTTGATACATGTACAACGAACGGCCAAATAATTATAATTTTACAATTTAAAAAGCTGCTGTCTGGCTTGTTAATTTCCTACCTTAAATTCATTCTTTTTAATAACACCTTGTTGAAAATGTTGGCGAATTTCATGCAAAACTGTAAGCATTGCAATGTTGGTCTTCCCAGCTCCAGTAGGGGCACAAATCAGCATGTTCTCATTGGTGTTGTAGGCAGTCTCAAACACAATAGACTGAATTCTATTGAGTCTCTTCATTCCTTTAAAAGCCAGCTGACCAATCTAAAAACCAACAGGACCCATTATAAATGATAATGTGAAGGACTCATACAAGAGAGTAAATGCAAACATTTATTTCCCTCTATTAAAAACCAAATGACCTATTTGTTCAGTCTCTCAGTGTGCCCTATATTTAAACAAAAGTATGTGCAATTGAGAGCAATTCACAAATATACGATTCTAATGCATTTGGGAATTGCAACTCACTAAATTAGAATATGATAATGGGACTGTATCTGTATCTTTGTACTCAATCCTAAGTATAAAACAATGATAAATTAATAGGATAGGGAAACAAAACTAAACACAGGTGTCTTTTGAATTTATACGATGCTATTCTAGTTTACGTAGACTGAAGATGACTAATTAATGTGCAAACAGGAAACTTCCTGGTGATATAAATCAACACAAACTTCTGTTTCAGTATCTTACGGATTGTTGAAAAAACTTTTTGAGAAGGCAGCTATAATCAGTGGTTACATTTATTCACAGGTTACATTACAACACATTACAATTGTAAGCACTTTGATATAGTCCCTTATTTCATCATGAGAAGAGTTCTATAGAATAGGTACTCTTGTTATGTTCTTTTAACAGAGAAAAAAGACAGAGTATACCCCAAACAAGACCCTTCAAAATGTGATCCCTTGTTATCTCCACCATTGCTACTTATACACACTGTGCTCTGATCATTTTTTGTGCTTTTGCACTACCTCTAATACCTTTTCCAACCCTGTAAGATGCATCGTCATTCTAGTTCAAGTTCAAGTTCAACCATAATCTGTGGTCATCTCTAATTCCCTAAGCAATTATTACATTTACTTATTTATACTTTTCCATATTCAAAATGATTCAATAAACTCTCATTTCTCTCAGCACCTAAACATTCATACAACCCTTTTTTTATATTGTCATTATGACGCTTAACTACAAATATTGAAATGATTTTTTTATATGTATATCTGGCCCACTGGATTGAAACTAAGGATTCAGTTTTATTACTCTTTATATTTCCCTAGTACCTAACCAATGCTAGGAACATAAAAAGCCTGTAAATAAATTTTTATTGACTAATAAATAAAGTGAATGAATGAGGAGAAAAGTCTTAAAATGATATGCACTGCATACTTAATAACCTCCAAAGAAATAGTAAACTAGAATTAACCAAAATAGGTATGAAGCAGTTCAGGAAAAAAAAAACTATATTCAACCTTAAAAAAATTACTTATGTTCTTAAAGATAACAGTTTAAGTAAGAAGTAAACTAAAACATTAGAAAAATATACTGACAAAAAAACCTATTTTATATCGAAGTTTATAACACTGTATTCAAGTCAACTTGTATAACTATTATTATACTAAGGATATATCAGTTTAAGTATTCATTTTCTTAACAAAAGTTAGTGCCTAAAATGATCCTTACAATGCATTAGCTGTGATTTTTAAAAAAGGCATGTTAGAACTTACATTATGTCAATTCAGTTTTCTATAATAAAGATGAACTATGTGCTCAGGCATCTGAGACAAAAGTCACTAAGAAGAATGCCATTTCAGGTAGGAGAGACAAAATATTAGAAAAACAAATAGAAGTAGTTAAATGTTAGTAGTTGTGAGATGGATATGGGAGGAAGAGATAGCAGAGATGAAGATGGAAAAGTAGGCCATGACCATACTCTGAAGGCCAGACTACACAGAGAATCCTCTAGAAACCTCTGACGTTTTTCCTGAAAGACTATATAAAGAAATTAGCAAAGGAAACAGAGGCCTAGAGAAGTTCCATAACTCATTCTACCCAAGTCCGCACTGCTAACTGTGGAATAGATGGGACCTAAACTATTTGTTTTAGTTCCACATACAAACCACCACCAGATTTACTGTTTAAAATAATATACAGTATTTTGCCAGTGTCTGCATTCATTTAAAAAAACAAAACAAAAAACTGTTGCAAAAGAATCCTTAAAATATAGTTGCATACATACACTCTGACAAGAAACAGCAAGTTACAAAATAAAACAAAATAAAAAAACCTCCCAAAATTTGTAAATTATTTCAAACAGCCCATGTTCTACCCTATTTCCCAAAAGTTTCTTTTTGTTTCTTATTTTTAATTTATGAAGATGAATGTAATAATTTTCATCAATATACTTGTTGGTAAAAAGTAAAAAAAAAAATGTACAAAGACAGCAATTGTAACAATATTAAAATATATATTTCACTAGAGAACTAGTGTATTTCAAATTGTGTCTGAGAGTTACTAGACTGTGAGATAAAGTTCATTATACATAAGGGATTTCTTCTATTTGAGTAATATTCAGATTATATTTACAAATATCTTAAAGCAAAAGAGGAAGAGTGTGATTACATCAAAAACTATTTCACTCCAATTTAGAACTATGTAATAATAATATTCAGTGTTTTATTTATAATGTCTAATTAAAATGTGGCAATAATCACTGCTTCCAAATATTTGGTATTCTTCTAACAAAAAAAATGTGTATTGATTTTACATATTAATGAATGTATAATGTGAAACTGTAATTATTTTTCTTAGCATGTCAGCATTTGCTTTTATACAGAAAACTTATGTCTCACGGCTCATTTATCATAAAGGCTTTATGTTTGGCCCTGATAGTCATTCTAAATATATATCATAAATGTAGGTCATTTTCCTTTTTAATTGGTTTTAACTACGCATTTTCAAAATATATCCTAATCAGCAGATCAAAAGTATTTTAAATATTACAGTGTCCTCCTAAATCCACTTGCCTATTTATATTTTGGATTCATCAGACTACTAATCTTACAGAAATGACATGACTCGTAAGGCAATTAATTCCACAGAAAATAAAAGTTTCTCATATCCCTTATTAAATACTGGCTACACAGGCCACATGGTATTTTTAAAAATAATCTGATGTTATTTACCTGGAAGACCAACAATGTACCCTAAACATCCTGCATTAATTGTTTATAGTAATCAAATGTAGGTACTTATACTTCCAGTAAGTTAAAAAGCACTAACAAGATATCTGAGAAAAAGCCAGGACAATGCTGTACCTTCCAATCTAGTATATGTATCAGAAGCTTAAGTTTAAAATATTCTAACAGTAAGCATTACAATTTCTGCATATTTTTAGGAAAAAATTATACAGATACCAAAGATATACACTGCATAACTTTCACAGTTTAAGTTTCCTCTGGATCCAGATAGCATGTGGTTTAGATTCAAAATCTGAGAATCAGAGATGATTGTAACTCAGAGATATGATTGATCACACTCAGTCTAAGGTCTATATGCTAGAATCTCACCACTCTAATATTCTTCACAAACCATGCTCTGCACCATAAACTACTTAACAGCCAAGGGATTAAAAATAAAACAATTTACACAAATACCTTACTTAACAGCCTTGAGTATTCTTTAGATAATAGATGATTTTCTTTTAGATAATTATATCATTTTTTTCATTTAAAGGTATTCAAGTATTTACTGATGTGGCTGTGTGTGTGTAATCATTCTAAAATAGATGACTTTGGGCTCCTTAACAGGATACATTAAAGACTATTTGATCTTTCATTTATGGCTGAGTTCACCATCCATTTATGTGGCAAATATTTATTGACCTTCTATGGGCCACTAATAGTTTAAATGGTCAGAAAGGTAGTTTATACAGTTTACACTGTAATGAGGGAAGATAAAAAAAATCAACAAATTTACTACTGAACAATCAAATTATTTCAAATACTAATATGAATACATTTTTAACAGATGGTGTAACACAGAGGAGTGGGACATCACAGTTACTTTAAATTAAGCCTCTTGGAAGGTGCCTCAAAAGCAGGACCTGAGTTGGGAAAATAACAAGCAGCAGGCCATGATAAAATATGAAAGCACAGTGTATTCTAGGCAGAACAAGAACCTAGAACTAGACTAAGTCAGGGCTAAGCCAATATGTTCAAGGAGCTGTTTGGAGATTGGTGTGGCTGTGTAAATGATCAGACATAAGACAGGAAAGGAAGAGAGGAGTCACATTGTGTGGGCAACTGTAGGTCACGATAAAGAGCCTGGGTTTTTATTTGCAGTACAAAAAGCCTCTGCATGATTTTAAGTAGAAGAATGACAAATACATTTTTTAAAGCTCTATCTGGCTACCATCTGAAAAGCGGATTCATGAATGGTAGACAACTATGCTGGTAGCACAGGTGGGCGTTGATGCTGGTTTACTTTAGGGCAGTGGAAACATGTTCATAGGGGGACACAGACTGTATTTCTGAGGTACAACCAATGACTTGATGATGAGCTAAATGTGAGAGGGAGAAGAAATGAGATATATCAAAGTTGAACTTTTTTTTCCGTGAGTAGATGGATGGCAGTTCTATTGCTGATAATAAGAAAAACTAAGAGGACAGACTGAGAGAGGAAAAAACATTCTATATGAAGGGCCCATTACACGTCCAAGGAGAAATGTCAGACAGGCAATTGCATCTCACTTTGGAGGTCAAGGAGTTTTTCAAAATGCATTTTCAGAGAGGCATAATGATTTTCCCAAGGTTACACAGTAGTAGCAGACCCAAAATAAAAATTCACACTCTACTAAGAATAATGGAAGACCAAACACCAAACACCCTAGTAGTAGTGAAATCTTAAGGACTGGATGATATATTAAAAAACAAACTAGTCCTACAAATAAAAAAAAAAAAGAATGTTTATAAAACTTTACACATTTCTAGCGTAGATCACGACTATCCAACAGAAAATAAAGCAAGCCAAATAAGTAAATTTAAATTTTCTAGAAGAAACATAAAATGTTTTTTAAAGTGAAATTTTATGACTTTATTTAACCTAATATATACATAAAATCCTGTTTTATTATGTGAAGATAAATTAATAATGATACACTTTACATTCGTTTTTCATATTAAGTCTGAGAGATTAGTATATTTCATACTTAGAGAATTTCTCAATCCAGACTAACTGTATTTCAAATGCTCAACACCTACATG